TGTTACCACGCCTATGCCCCCTCCCACCAACCCACTGTCAGAAACGAGAAGGTATTTCATATGATTATGTAGACCAGGGGAAAAAAATCAGTTTTTATTTTATACAGCACAAAGCCAATCAAATTAAAGGATCGTTTTATTTAATCCTTTATGTCATAAAGCCCAGCGTTACGAAAAATAGAGATGTATTGGTATAAATATAGCATTAAATGGAAAATAGTGCCATCGTAATTAAAGGAGCAAGTTGAGATCTGATACTTGAATGTTGCGTTATTGCATTCATGCGACACTCCATAGCAAATGCAGGCATGCTTGTTGCTTGAAGCACCATTTGGTTTTTAAGACTGTCATACTGCCATGACATTCATAAAGCCTTCAGTTGTCAATCTTTCACTAATTCGAAAAATTGATTTTAATATTGAACGTACTTTCTTTTAAATTACATGAAAATGTAATTACAGACCCTAACTAGATCCGTCATTATTAATCCAATCGAACTGATTAGTTTAATTTGTTGATTAAGTGACTAAGAAATACAATTATACACCACTCATTTTGCATTAAGGCACGTCTGTTCATAACAACCCTCCACTGGAACCATCCTGAGACACATGAATCCAGACAAAACTTTCACCTGTATTTTTTAATATTATCCTTACATCCACGCTTAAGTGCCTCAAGCGATGTTAATTTTTCGTCTCTCTCATGCGTTCTACATAGCATTCCCATCCTATCTTTAATTCGATCATCCAAAAATATCTGATGCAAGGTGGCCAACACATTATAAAGTTTCCTCTGAAAGGATTACATTACACATTGCTTCTGCAATCTGAAGAAACATTCAAGAGTAGGTACATTCTGTGCCAAAAATTTGTGCCAGAGCCGTTTTCTGTGTCCAGTGTCACATTACCTTACCCCACTGCGAAACACACCCTAATATGACGCCCGAAAACGCCGTTTCCCCCAGACAACTAACACTGACACTAACAGATGTTAGCTATGCGTTTTCCGGAAAATATATCGTGGTTTGTATGAGGGTCATGGATCATTTATTTATATTTTATTGTCCTGACCGCTAGACCCCAGAGTCATTCTTCACTTGTGTTTGGATGGTCTCAGACGAGCTGGTCTTAGGGCCCTGGGTCGCATTTCCTCGGTTAATCTGTTTCTTCGTCACCCATAAGCATTTTTTCCCGTCTCATTACTGTCAACTCTAAAGTACATGAGTGTAATCTTTGTCAGCTGGTTTGACTAAGCTCAAATCTCGAAAGCTTCATTCTCCGCCACGGGTCTATCTTAATAAAGCTGGAATGTCCACCGAAACACAGAAATTGCTTGTTTATTACGGCGATCTCCTAAAGGGACATTGCCCCTTACGGAATGAGGGGAGACAGACATTTTTCTTACGTAGTTTTATGAAATCTGGCGTGGACAGTCAATTTAGACAAACGCGTATCTTGTCATAAAATGACGTTTTATGGATTATCTAAACCAAAAAATCTGATTACAAATTTCAATTCTTTAGATTTTCAGATAAAATAATGCCAATTCTTTTTCCCCATCATGATATAAATCATGAAACGTAAAAATTTGAGAATGATAAGAAAAATTTAAGAAGAGGATTGGAATATTGAATTCAGAATAAGAACATTTTATCATCAGGTTCCATTTTCTTGCTCGCTTCCTGGTGCAGCAGGACAGGATGCTGTAGAAGCAGAACCACCCCCTTGCCTTCTGTCCCACCCCCGACTCACCTCGCTCTGCTGCTACCCCTCGATGTGCACGAGGCTTGAAAACATGCGTCAACATTGGCTTTCTGTTTGTATGTACAAACTAAACACTTTTATGTGTTCCAACGACCGATCGGAATTGATGTCCTGTTACCTACTACACACGGCAACAGCAGACGACCTGCGTTCTTGTTAGTCTGTCTGTTTGCTTAATTCCTTTCTTTTTTTGGAGTCTGACCCAATTTGAGTTATGGAAACATGACATAACCCTTTATTAATACTTTGTTGTTGTATTTTATTTTTTTAGTTTAGAGCGTATAGTGTCTTGAAATAAATGACGAGCCTTCGTTTTGCCTAGTTTTTACTTTTAAGCAACTATGTCGCTGGTTTAATCGTCGCATTGAACCTTCGTGCACACAAAACGCGCGCAGACGCAGTGAATTCAACGTGAAACGAGGAAGCATTTCTGTCCTTCAAGATTCAACCAAGCATCGGGAAATTCATGACGAAACGACGTTGGCGGACGAATTTCGCATTTGCCACGTTTCTCATACAGACCGCCAAACACAAATTTACAAAATGCTTTATCAACTAACCGTGTTTTATGTGGGCCTATAATGTTCTGTAACGTGAGTTTGAAACTTCACGATATTTTGTTGACAATATTAGGACAGTGTTTCGATCATTGACTGCAAGGTTAAGTGCCTAATCTCTCTCTCTAGTTCTGTTCACTCTGTTATTCTGTTCTGTTCACTTCTCCTCCCTTGTTGAGTCCTGAGTTTGACGTCTGGTTCCTACAAAACGCTGGTATCCACACAGCCTTACAATGCAGAACACAAACATCGACATCTTTTATTAAAAGTGTTTTTTTGGTATAATTTGCCTTTTGATATTTCTATTCTATGGACAGAATATATAAAAGTAAAGAATTTCTGATTATTTTGCAGTTTTCATGTATTACAACTTCTGGCCTGTAATCATAATTGACACATAAATCAAATCCTTTTGACCTGGAATCGAACCCGTATCTCCAATGTTTGATCATTTAATCCCGACGACATGCACGTGAGAGGAGACAGCCAGTAGGATCTCATATACGCAATGCAAGGAAATGATTCGGCTCTTATGAAATCTGTGTCAAAAATTTATAGTCAACTAAACTAACCTTCACATTCAATCGCTTTTTAGAATATAATGACTTGAAAATAATCCGTCAGTTTATATTCCTGTTACTTTATTAAAAATCTGCAATTACGTAAACTGGCATCGAACTTTGTACGATGAGATGGTTAAACCCAGTCTACGCTTCCTATTCGAGACTTTGTGTAACAATGATTTGCGGGAGGAAACTTAGAAATTCGGAGGTAAACCTCGCCGAAAATCTCATTTCAGGTCACCCGAGATTGAACTCGGTTCTCCCTAGCCTCAGGACTCCAGTGGTAAGCCAGCCGTTGGTTGTCATCACCTCGCCCCTGACAGTTGGTTTAAAGTGCGGCACATAGGATGAGTGACCCGAGCTGCTAAAGCAGCCACGGAATGAAATGTCACCGGACAGGAGAGGAAATTGGGATCGCACTGTGTCACCAGTCGGTAGCCATGTCGACATTGCAGTTCCGGAGTTATCTCGAGCCTCAATTGATTTCCAGACACAGCCTTGCCTGCTGTTGCTCTCAGCCAAATATCGAAGGATGAAAAATATCGCTTTTATGTTTACGATGACAAAATACGAAACATGAAGTGAGCACAAGCTGGTTGCCGGACTGATTTCAATGCGTCGCTTAGGCAGAAGCCGACCGATACTTGCTGGTGAGTGGTTAGCATTCCTTTGTATTAGGGACGTTCCGCGTTCAAATTTGAGCCAGGAAATCGGCTATCCTCACAGTTATTCGTGGTTTTCCTCAGTCCGTCTAGGCAGATTCCAGGACACTACCTTAAATTAGGATACGACCGCTTCCTTCCATATCCTTCCCAATTCATTGTTCATTAAACATCTTATAAATATGCAGCTGTTGATAG